GGGACGTGGTTGAGTGGCGGACTTGGCAGCGTTAGGTTAACGGTTGGACTTGATGATCTTAAAGGTCTTTTCCAACCTAAACGGTTCTATGGTTCTTGGCCGGCTGCCAGGGGTCCACCCAGCTGCCCCTCTTCAACAGGACAGGGGGAGAAAATAGGAGGAAAAAGTTCCTTCAGGAAATATCCACCTGCCAGATCCACAGGCAGCAGGGAAACATCGGCCCTCAGAGTGCCGCGCTTTGGAGTTGTAGCTAGAAGGGCGTTGATAACACACCCGTGTTTCAGCAGCGCTCCCACAGCACGGAGGCTGTCTCTCCAACCACCCCACCCCCAAAGTCCAGTAAGCTGGGGGTGGGCAAGAGGTTGGGAGGGGACAGAGCCAGGACAGCTGACCCAAAGTGACAGAGAGACATATTCCACTGTGCTATGGAAGCACCACAGCTGCCACTCAGACCGATTGTTTTCTCCTACCGCCTCCCTCCTCACCAGAAAAGGGATATCGACGCGGCCTTATCGCACGGCCATTGAGAAAGCGCTCCAACAGGAGTTGGATGCTCCCAACACATTGCGCTGTGCCGAAACCACCCTCGCATGGCACGCCTGTAGCGTCACATACAGTATTTTCTAAAGTTTCAGCAGCAGCCTACGCTGGCTTTATGTACATTTGCGTACCACTTCCAAAAAGCTAAGAGCCTGCTTCCTACAAGACGCAGGAGACTGCTAAGCGGTTCCAGCGTCACGCTTCAAGTGACTGGGCAAATCGCTATCTATCTATAGAACACTGTTAGCAGACTGAAACATTCCACATACTTACACTCCGGGGAGACACCATTTTAACTTGCAGAACTATTTCCCTCAGTAAGACGCGCCAGACAGAGGTGATATCCCCATGCTAAATCTTTATTGTGCAACTGCTGCTCAAAGCTTTTATTACCTTCCACAGGCGCACCTCACAAAAAATTAGACATCAACAGTGGCTAGACTGACGGGCAACAGACGAAATCCATTCAGTGGCGATTTGTACACGTGCAGCAACTCCTGCGGTGCAAAAATCTTAGCCAGGCGGCCAGCCCAACTGACGGCCACCCAGAATGCGCAGATGTACGTGACAGACAGGCTGCCCGCCCTCGGGCCCTTCGTCCACAACCGTCCGGAATCCATCGGTCGGGCCCAGGTGAGCAGCACGCTTCTTGCCAACAATCACTAAACGCCCAAGAAGCTGGAGAAGGAAGTACAAAACCCTAAATAAATAAAATCAAAAGCCACACGCAAAGAGGGGAGAGGGCAGGGAGGGAAGGCATGAGAGCAGAGAACCACCCAGAGAAACCAGTTCGCCAATTCCTAGCAATTCAACCATTGCGCTTAAAATGACTGTCTGTCCGCCTGCAACTGACATTTTCCAAGCAAAGCTACAAAGACCAAGCAGGCACACTGGGGGGGGGGAAGAGCCACGCAATTTTTTTCAGGCTAGACGGTAACGGACTACAAAACCCCAAATAGCCTACTGTGCCCTATCAGGAGGGAAAGGGGGGGATGGGAAAGAGGCCACGCA